CCCAGAGGGAGCCATTCCTGGTGAGAAGTAGCTCCTGGAGAGCTTGGTGAGGATAGTGGTTGCCATCTTTCCCACTGCTTCCCCCAGAGATGACACCAGCAGGGTACTTTAATATCCTGACTCCAGGCCTTTGCCTTGGAATGAGCAAGCAATCACTCTCCCTGTTCCTCCTATCCTACAGGCTGTGTTCCCCTGGACCCCCAGCTCAGCCAGAGCTTGGAGGAAGGCAGAGACTTCATCCAAGAGTTTCCCAAGAGCTCTGCCTTCGCTGCCCTGGCTCACATCACCCAGCAGATCTTGGATGGTACGTCACAGCCGAGCTCCTGAGGAGGGTATGGAGCTGGACTCTTGCTGGCAGAGCCCCTGGCCTGACAGCACCACCAGCAGCCTGCGCCGGTGGGGAAAGGGGATGCAGGAACTGTTTCGCTATAAAACTGAGTGGAGAGTGATGGAGGGAGAGGGGAGCACAGCATCAGTGCCACTCACAGCAATCCAAAAAGGGAAAAGCACTGCTCCATCCCCCTGGATTTGAAGAGACCCTGTGTGGGCGCTACTGCCTGGCACAGCGGCAGCCTGCTGCTTGCCTTCTCAGCGTGGCGATGCTCTGCCCGGATGGTACAGTCGTTCCTAGCCCTGCGCACGCAACACCTTCCTCCACAGCCAGCCACTGTGCGGGTGCTTGGGGAGCTCTACCTTATGCCCACGGCGTCTCATACGCTGCGGCGCTTCTGGCGATCACCCTGTGTGCAGCTACAGTGGCAAACGCCATCAACTGTTCTTCCCTGAACCCAAGTGGCACCGATCATCCGGATCGTGGCTCCATGTGCTGCTGCCTTCTCCTACCGCTTTCCTTGCGTGACAGATTATATAGTGCTCGGTTCAGTGGCTGGTGAGTTTGTGCCGGATGCTCCAACGTGGACCCAAGCCAGGCCACCTTGCTCTGAAGTCTCAGATCACTGGTTCCTGATGGGCCAGTGAGGGTACGGGCATGCGCTTCACATGAGAAAATGTCTTGGTCTGCATCCTGCCGTGCTGGAACCGGGGCCTTTTTGGTCTGCTGGGGGTTATTGTGACTCAGGAATATTTTTAAAAGTCCCAGGCAGTAAACACTTTTCTTAAAATCAAAGTCTGTGACTTGGGTTATTCCATGGCTTCAGGTCTCATCGTAGCTGTGAGTCTTGGTATTACGAGCGCTTCACGTACATCTAGGTATTTCCTGCTTTTGCCCTGGTTTCCTTGCTGGGGTTCAGCTAAAATCTTCCCTCCTTCCATAGGTGCTCCAAGCGCCAGCCAGTCCCGTGTCTTGCTGAAAGCTGGCCCTGGCAGTCCTTTGTGGGATGCCTTGCTGTGGCTGTTCTCTGCAGCCCTGCCACACACGGGGCTCCTCTCTGTCCCCGGGTGGTTCCCGGTACCTCATCCCGCTGAGTGTCCTTCCTGTTCCCTTGGGCCTCCTTCCATGGCCTCGGAGCTGCTGCTCCCATGGGACCTGCCCTCTTCTTGCATGCTCGAGTTAATCTGGGGAGGCAAATGAAGGTGGTGTCCTTGCATCTTATCTCCCTCTGTCCTGGACTCTGAGCCCCTCCTGCCCGGGCGCCCTCTCCGTGCTCTGCACTCGCCCTTGCAGTGCTGTTTCTGGGAGGCAGGGGGAAATCTCAGATTTCCACTAACCAAGCCACATGATAGCTGGCAGCCCTCCTTTGGAAGAGACCAGGAGGAGCATCTATCCCTGCTCCTGCTGCACCCGCGGCAAGGACTTGCACCTGACCAGCTTTCCCCACGTGCAACTTTCCGGGAAAATTTTGCCTGACCTTTGGTCACTTATCTGGGATTTGGAGAGCTGGGCAGCGGTGCTGGAGTCTAACCGGGCTGTTGGCTTCTGTGGGATGGCCGGTCACCTCTTGCTCCCTCCCTGGGCACGTGCCACCCACCCGGGGCTCACAGTAAGCTCCCTGCAAGCTCCTCCAGTGCCCTGGGGAGCCTCGCGCCCCTCACCCTGTGCCAGCCCCAAGGGGCTCTGATAAGAAACCCCCGCCAGGAGCAGCACGTGCTTTGGAAAAAACATACTTACAAGATGGGTTGCGATAGCTCCAAAGGTTTATTTGTCTGCTACAATTTATCAGGTAAGTGACGTGTGCGGCTTTCTGTGCCCTGCCTACACCTGCTAGTGCAAGGAACGATTAAAGCAAGTTGTCTGCCCCCTTCCCTAAACCTACTGGGGAGCTCGAGGGGGCTTTTGGGCTTTCTCGGCTGCTCTGTGGCAGGAAGATGCTTTGCTTCGCCCCACTGATGAGTCCTGGCCCTGGCAGGGATGCCGCTCACCATGGGGAGGGCTCTGGGCTGGGGCGCAGCTCTCCTCCATCCCGGAGGTTCAGAGATGCTCATGTTCCTGACAGGAGCCAGGAGCAGCCTTGCTGACCTGAGGACTGCTATTTAAATATTGAAGGACTGAAATATTTCAGTTTGAAGCCAGCAAAGCCCATCCGGGGAGCTGGTGCCCACCTCCTACTGCTCATGGCCGGGCTCATGGTCCAGCATTGTGTGGGCATGACTCCTTGCTGCTGCCCTGAGGAGCTGGCAGCAGCAAAGCCAGACTAAACTGGGGTGGTGGGGGGGCTGCTGCCCTCGGGAGCCCAGGATGGGGCTGGGTAGGAGGCAGGCGAGGGTCTGTGGTGTGTCTCCCCAGGGAGAGGCCTGGCGTGCATCAGCAGTGAGCAAAGCTGTCCTCAGTGGTGTCGCGGAGGTCTAGGCCTGCCACGGCCGGGGGGTTGAGGCAGGGGGGGGTGGTGTGGGTTTTTTCCCCGGGGGTGTCGCGGGGGTCTAGGCCTTCCACGGCCGGGGGGTTGAGGCAGGTGAGGTTGTTGTAGGTGTAGACGGGGACGTGGGCATCATCCCCCTCGGCCACAGACTGCACGAAGCGTGGGACCACCACGGGGTGCTGCAGGGAGAAGTCCCGCAGGCCCTTCAGGGAGCAGTTGCAATGCCAGTTGTTGCCCCCTAGCCAGAGCTGCTCCAGGGCGAAGGAGGCGCACAGGAAGCCCACCGAGAAGGTCTCCAGTGAGTTGTTCCTCAGGTTGAGGTACCGCAGGTTGGCCAAGGGGGAGATGACTCTGTTGTCCAGCATCTCCAGCTGGTTATGGGAGAGGTCAAGCCAGAACAGTCTCTGGAGCGGGCTGAAGGTGTCCTGGGAGATATCCAGGAGCTGGTTGGAGGAGAGGAAGAGGTACTCCAGGTTGCTCAGACCCACAAAGAGCTGAGGTGAGAGGTGGCTCAGCCTGTTGTGCTTCAGGTCAAGCTCCAGGAGCTCGTGCAGTTCGCTGAAGCTTTTGTCTTCAATGACGGAGATGGCGTTGTGCTGCAAGAAGAGCCGCCGCAGGCTGGAGAGGCTGGAGAAGGTGTTTGCGCGGATCCTGCCGAGGCAGCTGTGCTCCAGGTGGAGGCTGTGCAGCTTGGTGACCCCCTTGAAGACATAGTCGGGGAGGACCTTGATGCAGTTCGCAGACAAGTGGC